TACAAGCAGGCTACCGGCACATAACACTGCGCACAGAATCGAACATGGCTATGGTGCTACCATGTCTTTTCGTTCGTATTGTCATCAAGACCTATGTCCCAGACGAACTCAGTGGTACACTTTTTGTTTTTGACTCAACCTTTCTCATGTAACGAATATTTAACAGTGAATCTCATACAGTTCAGAGAGGAAATGGGCTTTGACCCATATTGTTAGCATTTTGCCTTTATTATTTTGCCCACATTTTGCCCATACTGTTAGCATTATTGATCGTTGTCAAAACATGCATCCGAGAGATGGAGATCCTTGCAGGCCTGGTAGATGCACTTGCGGATCCGCGTGCCTACCTCTCTGCTCAGGAAAAACGAAAAGAGGCGCTGCATAATATGGGTGTGGAAGATTCTGACATTGTGGAAGTTGCGACAAGTTCAGTACGAACAGCGTCAACCAAAAATGCATTGTTACGAATAAATGGCGGTCCACTGGAACAGAGTTGCGAGTAAGTGAATTGATGTAATAGAAAGGTGTATCTAGCTACTCCCAAACGAGCAAAAGTGAATCTGCTGGTGGTGGCGATAAATCGAAGCTTTTTGTTTTTATTAGTATGATTTTTCCTAATTCTCGGGTATCAGACTTGGCATTTTTTAGTTTTTTTTTTAAGAAAATTTAGCAATTTCCTGTTGATTTTAGCGCTTGTTAGCTAAATTTTGCGCCTATATTCCCTACTTCGCAGCTTTTTCTTTGGTAGATTTTCATTCCTTTAACTTTTTTTGTGTGTCTAACTAAGTCTTGTGCTTCTTAATTTTTAGGGTTTCGTCTGCAACAAATTACTGGCGCAAGGGCGAGAGACAACGCGGGCAGGGCAAGGGGTAGGAGGGGGGGGGGCAGTGCTTCCGCCTTAGATAATAGCTAAGTTTACCTAGTATAAACGCTGATATCAGAAGAAAGTTGCGCCTCACCAGTATACTAATAAAGAGAGTCGTTAGGAAGATGCAAAGACATTTCGGATGTGCGCTTAAATATTTGAGCAGATAAAATTATCGTTCATTTTGCATTTCAGTTCGCTGAAGTCAACGGCCTCGCTCAAGGAAACAGCTCGACCAAACTCCGAAGCTTCAGATACGAAACATAAAGTAACTATTTTTTCACTTTTTTCTTTTAAATATTTAATTGGGCTGTGTGTAAGACTAAAAAGACCTACATCTACATATGTATATGCACAACATATCTACTCAGACGAGATTTCAATGCATGATTTTTTTGCGCGAAGAACGAGAAGGAATGTGATTAAGTAGAGCGACGAAATGTGGGAAAGCTGGAATCATTTTTTGTACAGTGTAAGCCCAAGTAAAAAAAA